AACCGAAGAATACAACGGCGATTTGTATACAAACATATTTGCGCTTACAAAAAGCGCTGCGCGTAAGCAATACTGTCCAGCAGAAGTAACGCAGCAATTGCAACTGCTACATGAAGCCGCTACGTAGCGCTACGTAGCGCTAGCTTCGGCTAAACACACCCATAGAGAACGGCCTTTGAGTTCCACTTTTGTGGAAATACGGCTAAAACCAGCGGCTGAAACCGTCGTAAAAAATTACAATAGGATGGCNGCTCTCAGGTTTCTCTCTGATCTAAAGTTATTCTCTGATAACTTGTTACCATGCAACATTTTGTTTATTTATAAAAAGAAATGCGTTAAAACAGTAGAACATCTCTCAGTTTTTTGTCTTCTTTATTCCGTTCCGACCGTTGCCGTGTGAGAATCATCTTTCTTGTGTGTCTCTGCCGTTTTATATTTAATCGTGTCGCGCCGTTAAATGTTTAATAAAGCCTTGTTACAAGAAGACTGTGAATATTCTTATTAAATAAAACAACAATTTCTATGATGATAGCTAAAAAGCTTTCATTCCTGCTACCTAGATTTTATGCGAACTAACAATTGCGACTTATACATATAAATAATTATAGGAAAACCAAAACTAAACCTTAAACAGAGAAACAACATAGAAGAGAGATTTAAAAAAAAAACAGATGCAAACTGAGCACTATTTTTACCATGGACTATATTGGTACAAGCGACAGGTTAATATGTGCAGTTCGTGAAGGAAACCTAGAAAGAGCAAGGGAGTAACTTACTTATCTTGGACTATCTTATTCACAAGAATGGTCAGAAGGATATGATTTACTTTGTGATGCTATTGAGAATAAGCATACAGAAGTTATTAAACAACTTTAACAAACGGTTCGAAAGTTAACAGCAACATTGACAAATCTGATAATGACGATCATGATACTCCACTTCATTTTGTTGTTATAAATGGTGATATAGAAATTGTTAAGATGCTTCTAGACAGAAGTGCTAAAATTAATACTGAAGTTCAGTTTGGCAGAACTCCGCTTCACAATGCAATTGAAAATGAGGATATAGATCTTGCTGAATTACTTTTAAATTATGGAGCTAACGTTAATGCCAGAGACAGTTTAGGTACACCTTTATATTGCACCTGAAAAAATTATATATAAATTTTTGGACATTTTTTATACCATGGAGTTTATGTTACTTTTACATATATATCTACATTTACACCAGGTTTAACACCACTGTGTCTTGCTGTCTACCAACAACATGTACATGGTGCTAAGATGCTGTTGGACAGAGGTGCTAACGTTAATCATCAAAAGCAGAGGTTCGGCACAACTCTGCTTCATGATATAATGGAAAAAAAGGAAATAAAAATTGCTAAATTACTATTAAATCATGGAGCCAACGTCAATGCCAGTTCTAAGTCAGGTATAATTTTATATTGCAGCTGAGAAAAGATATTTACAGATTAATGAACATATTTAAAACATGGACTTTTTAGTAATTCTACATATATATCTATTTTTTTACACCAGGTGTTACACCACTGTGTATTGCTGTTCAACGAGGACATGTAGATGGTGTTAAGATTCTGTTGGACAGAGGTGCTAACGTTAATGCTAAAACTCTGAGTGGCAGAACTCCGCTTCACTATGCGATTGAAAATAAGGAAATAAAAATTGCTGAATTACTTTTAAATCATGGTGCTAACGTTAATGCCAGTGATGTGTCAGGTATAACTTTAAATTGCAGCTGAGAAAAGATATTTACAGATTGATGAACATTTTAAAACATGGACTTTTTAGTAATTCTACATAAAAATCTATTCTTTTACACCAGGTTTTACACCACTGTATCTTGCTGTTCATCGAGGACATGTAGATGGTGTTAAGATGCTGTTGGACAGAGGTGCTAACGTTAATGCTGAAACTCGGAATGGCCAAACTCCGCTTCACTATGCGATTGAAAATAAGGAAATAAAAATTGCTGAATTACTTTTAAATCATGGTGCTAACGTTAATGCCAGTGATAAGTCAGGTATAACTTTATATTGCACCTGAGAAAAGATATTTACAAATTGATGAACATCTTTTACAACATGGAGTTTACTTGGAGAGGTAATTCTCCATACATCTCTTTCTTTTCAGGTGATGCATTACTGTGTCTCGCTGTTCGAAAAAGACATGTAAGTGGTGTTCAGATGCTTTTGGACAGAGGTGCTAACATTAATGCTGAAACTCGGAATGGCCGAACTCCGCTTCACTATGCGATTGAAAATAAGAGAATAAAAATTGCTGAATTACTTTTAAATCATGGTGCTAACGTTAATGCCAGTGATAAGTCAGGTATAACTTTAAATTGCAGCTGAGAAAAGATATTTACAGATTGATGAACATCTTTTAAAACATGGAGTTTTATGTTAACAACATATATCTCTTCTTTTACACCAGGTGTTACACCACTGTGCCTTGCTGTTAAAAAAGGAAATGTAGAAGTTGTTGCGATGTTGTTAGACAGAGGTGCTAACATTAATGCTTTACCATATAACGCTTCTTATGACTTTTCTTGTGGCATTTATTTTAAAAAAATTGCTGAGTTTCTTACACAGCATATAGTTAAGATAAAAGCTGCAAATTTATCCGTAAGTGAACGATTAGTATCAATATGCAGCAATTATGAAATAAGAGATTTACAGGATATGTGTGAAAAAGAAGTAGCTATCATGAAGAATGAGAAAATTAGTAATACTAACATATCATTTTACGATATCTTGATAAAAGATACAAATCGATTAGCAATATATATGAGAAATGAAAATGTAGTGCAGGTTTTACGATCAGACGAGTATAAAACAAAATTTCCAATATACTCTAGCATGATAAAAAATCAGTTCAGAAAAAGTATGAAAAAGAAAGAGTTGCTCGAACAAGGCACTAAAATTTTTTATTTGTTCTGTAACTTTCCTGAGCTACCACTTGGGTGTATTGAACGAATATTTAGTTACTTAAGTGATAATGACATAAGAATTTTAATAGATACTTTTAAGTCCCCTAACAGCACGGATATATTCTGAGTACGTACTGAGTAAGTCGCAGTCCGTATATTGTGATCATCTCAGTACATTCTCATACGTACTGCTATCAACTGAGTACGTACTACGATCGTACCTATGTCCGCGGCACCATCTAGTGTAGAATTTCGCCGCGAATATTTAATAAGTAATATTTAATAAGTTTAGTAATTAGTTGTATGGTTCACCTATTTTCATACATTAAGATTAAAATTAATTAGTTGGATGTGATAAAATATATCTGTAAATGTCGACACGTCAAAAATTGATAAAAAAGAAATTACGTGCTCTGAAGCTAATACGACATTGTTCGCTGAAAAAAATAAAATTTCTATATTTTACATGTATGTTTTACTAAGTAAAAATAAATAAAATAACTTTAGTAAATGCTTCTACTGTAACATATATGTATTTCATATTGAAACGCCTATTTGCTACCTTTTTTTTATGTAATGATTTTTATCAAAAGATAATTAGTTCATATACATAACAATCACTGTGATCATGAAAACCTAATTTTAACATCAAAAAATCTCTGGAGAGCGGATTGTTACAGGAGGGAATCATTGTTCTCCTTCTGTATCTTGATCTTTTCTTTTTTTCTTTTCTTTCTCTCGATAGATGCGTTCCCGGGCATGTGCCAACTGTATTTTAATTGTATAAAACATCTGTTCATCTTTCGTTTCATGTGCGTTTCTTTTAAAACTTCTGCAAAAACAAATTTTCAAATTATTTAAATTTTCAAAGTACTTTCTTATTGAAGAAAAAAATATTTTTATTTTTTGTCACAAGTTTGATACATAATGTGATTTAAATAAAGAAGTAATAATTAATTTTATTTTTTTATATATTTATATAAATTTGATGCACAATTGAGAGATTAATATTAATGGTGGTGCAAGCACTGAACTCTATATACACTGGAATGCGCATCTTCGCCTAACAAGCATAGCGAGACGTGGCACAAATTGATCAGCGCCATTTTTGTTTGGCCTGGTATTTTAGCAAATCAAAAGTGCGTTCCGCGTCCCGCTACAATGAATCAGAAGCATTCTCCTAGCACGCGTAGAAACGTGTTACGGTTGTATATGTGAAAACATCTGTTTTTTCTTCTTTGCTGTTTTGGCTCTTGAATGAAAACATCTGTAATATTAGCGACATGAGGTGTTGCGTGCCCGGGTGTGGGCAGCGAAGTGAAAAGGGGATTTCATTTCATAGGTAAGGATTTTAGTGTGAAATATATCAGGTGCATGTATTAACAATGTAGGATGAAAATTGTTAGGTCAGGATGTTGTAGATAGAAATAATATTTTTTACTGCTTACATTTTTACATACGTTTTATTTTTAATTGTTTAAATATTTACATATCTTTTATGTAGATTTCTAGTGAAAGACCCGAATCGAACTCAACAATGGATTGATAAAATATATGCGTTTTTGGAAATGCATAATTGTAAGCCAGAAAGCTTTAAAAAGACAAAACAATCTGTTTTATGTTCCAAACATTTCCTTAAGAGCGATTATCTTGTTACAACAAGTAGCCGTATGTTGAAAATTTCAGCATGTCCTTCAGTCTTTTTGGTAAGTTATATATAATAGCACTAAGGTTTTTATGATAAGTGCAAAATTGGCTCAGAGGACTGGATACAGCTAGTCCATACATCATTCTATGTATAAGTATGATTCTAAACTAAGAACCAAGGTTTTTAGAATCTACTTATTGTTCTGTCTAATTATAAAACTGTCTAATTATAAAAAAACTCAACATCTTATAGTACATGAGATAGGCAGATATCAGATAGTGTAAATGTCAGTCTGTTTGGATTTGACGAGTTTTAAATTATGCAATTTACAAGCTATTACAGTAGCATTTTAATGTATTACAGTGCGAGCCTAATGCTCCAAAACGACGGAACAGGCAACCTAAATTCAGTTCTGAAACACCTGAATCTCATCGATTGCATTACATTCTTCCAAAAGTGAAGATGAATGAACTGGAAGGTAAAAAAGTAATGGCTACAGTGCAAGAAGAAGAAAACAAAAAGGTAAGTAAAATACAAAATGAAAAAATGCACATTGAATAATTTTTTTGATGTGTCTGTTACAAAAACTAACTTGTGTATATAATTCATAATTTTTATTAGTGGATAGTCTTAATATTATAAGATGTGACATCTTTTGCAGAATGTCTCTAAAATTACAAATGGTGCATTTAAATTTCAGAATGGTTTTTCGAAACGTTCAATTTATCTAAACTAATCGATTATTGTCAAATTTTTTTTGTGTCTTAATTATTGCTTGTAACTATTACGATTATCACGATTTATTTCTGTTTGCAGAATGCGTGCACCAGATGCTTGACACTGGAAAAAAAAGTCCAGACATTAGAGGAAAAGATAGCTGATGTGGAAAAACTATTTCAGCTGCAGTCTTGCAATACACATGATATTTCTTCACCTCGTCAGGAAGAATTACTGCAAGGATCATCTACGCCAACCACTACAACACGAAATGCACGCCATGATCACTGTTATGTAAGAAGTCCACGATGCTTGCGACGAAAATTAGACTTTACGCGCTCTCAGAAAATTATGGTCGGAAAAATAGCTCGTTCCACAATGAAGAAGTATCGACAAGCGACGATAAAAGTGTCGCAGTGAAAATCTTTGTTAAAGATTATGAAGGAAAAGATGATTGCTAAACCGGAAGTCGTTGACCATCTTAAACAAATATTTGGTGGATCTCCCCTACAACTCTATGAAAGGTGTGTACAAATGCATGCGGCTGGTGGGAAGAGAGTCACTAAAAAATATTCTTCTACTTTGCGTGCTTTTGCTTTAACGTTACACTTTTATTCTCCTCGAGCATATGCTTTTGTCCGTGAAGAATTTGGCCTTAGTTTACCTCATCCAAGTACGTTGCGTAGTTGGTATAATGAAGTTAGAGGCGATCCTGGTTTTACTGATGAATCTTTTTCGGCTCTTAAAATGAAAGTAGATGAATGTTTATCAATCGGAAAAACTTTATACTGCTCCTTGATGCTTGACGATATGCATATCAAAAAACAGGTTGAATGGGATGGCAGTAAGTTTCATGGCTTGTGTACCGTGCGTAACAACGATACAGAAGAATGTCACGCTGCCACTCAAGCACTTGTTTTTATGGCTGTAGCTCTCGATGCATCTTGGAAGGTTCCTCTCGGCTATTTTTTGCATGATGGTATGAATGCGGATCAACTAACAATATTAACTAAAGACTGCATTCGACGTATGCGTAAAGTTGGTGTGCAAATCCCTTCCTTAACTTTTGATGGTTCTGCTGTTCATTTAAATATGGCTGAGCGTTTGGGAGCTAATTTGAAAATGAATTCTTTTAAACCGAGCTTGCAACCTTTTGACGATCCAAATATGATTTTAATGCACTGCCTGTTGGATCCTTGTCATGTTTTGAAACTTGTGAGAAATGCATGGAGTGATTTAGGAGTAATTATTGATAATAACGGAAATGTTATTTTATGGAAATATATAGAAATGCTGCATGAAATCCAAGAAGCAGAAGGATTGCGGGCGGGCAATAAAATAAGAAAAGCCCACATACAATGGAAAAAATCGCCAATGAAAGTAAATCTCGCTGCTCAGACACTTAGTTCTAGTGTCGCTGATGCAATAGACTTCTGCCGTGACATTAAAGTGGCTGGTTTTGAAGCCAGCGCTTCAACCACTGACTTTATTCGAAGAATTGATCGATGGTTCGATATCATGAACTCTAGAAATCCGCTAGGACGCGGTTTTAAGGCTCCACTATCGACGAAAAATGAAAGCAGCTGGCGGCCTTTTTTGCACGAGACAATTCAATACATTTTGTCGCTTCGGTGGAAAAACGGGACTCGTTTGGTCGACAGTTCAAGAAAAACTGGTTTCATTGGAGTTGTTTTGTCCTGTGAAAGTATAGTTTGTATATTTGATCAATTAGTAGGAAGTCACGAAACCCACTTGAAGTATCTTCTTACGTATAAAATGTCGCAAGATCATCTGGAGTTATTTTTTAACGCAATCCGAGCTAGAGGACGATGGTGTGTTAATCCTACACCACGTCACTTATATTCGGCTTATAAACGTTTGCTAGTGAGACACAAGATAAAGGCTTCAAATGGCAACGTAACTGCCATGGAGAAAACTACAATCCTTTTTGCGACTCGAAAGTCTATCACTCGGTATCGAGACACCGTAGCCCAATGCGATTCTTTAACATGTGCGCTTTCTCGCGCCTACGCCATTGATGACAACTTTACTGACAATGGAACAGCTCGATCAGATAATTTGGACGCTCTGCCATCGAATATTAATGACGAACAAGACGGAGTTGACAACGAATTGATGGAGTTAGATTTGGGAATGCCTCTAAATTATTCTCCGTTATCCGAATTCACTGAAAATACAGTCGCGCTAATTGCTGGTTACGTCGTGCGAATGGTGTTTAAGCGAGTACAATGTATGTCTTGTTGTTCTGTTCTCTGTAGTGGTAATCCCAACGACAACAGGCTTAAGTTAATTTTGCAAAAATCGAATGGTGGTCTCATATTCCCTTCTCCCAGACGTTATAGCGATCTGTACTGTGACTGAAAAGATGTTTCGAAGAGCTACTTATGAGTTGCCTATCGATACGCCAGGATTAAATCACATCATCGTGAATGCGGTATTCGCCAATCTAATCGCAAAAAATTTGTTTGTTGAACTTCACAATCATATGTTTGATACGTCAGAAGAAGAAAATCATTTACATAGTCTAATAAAGACAATATCTTTGTGCTATATAAGAATTAAAATGTATCATTACGGAAAAAAAGTTTCGGAAGCAAATACAAACATTGGAAAACGAAAGGAACTATCGCGACTTGCTATTTTCTTAAATGTATAAAATGTTTAATAAAACACACTATTTACATTTATAAATTATCACACTATTACATATATAAATAAAGAAGTTTGTTCATACACCAATATCCTGTATTTGACTTCATATCGGCCCATTTCCAAATATTTTTTGATTATTTATATTTATTACATTTTTTTATAATTGAAATAAAATTGTATTGAATTGTATGTAAAAACGGTAGGTTTTTACATTGTATTAATGAACAAATTTATAGTATACTTATATCGTATTAACGAGCAAAAGTCCTTTTATACATATTTATTTATTAATTTGTTTATTAATTTTACGTAATTTTCTTACTACAAACTCCTGAAGAAACTTTTTCTATTTTGTTAATTTTTCATCTCCGTCATTTACATTGTAGCGGGACCGCGCGTGAAACGCGCTTCTGATTTGCTCAAATACCAAACCAAACAAAAATGGCGCTGATCAATTTGTGCCATGAATTTTCTTCGATGCGCATTCCAGTGTATATAGAGTTCAGTGGGTGCAAGTATGGCTCTTGGACCCTAAAGATTAGTCCACACGACAAGTTAATATTATTGGTTTGGTGCACATATGGTTCAAAGGACCTATTCAAGTTAGTCCATACGCCATTCGAAGCAGGTTAATATTATTATAATCTATTGCATAGAGCTTATACTAATCATAGACGTATAATATATAGACTGCGCGTTAGGCTGAAAAGATGTTTTCAACGTTGAGAGAAACAACATACCTTGAATAGTAACTCTTTTTCTGTCTATCAATGGTTGCGTTTAGACAACTCAACAGTTGCACACCGGTTGATAGATAATCACTTCTGATCGGATCATACTTCTGGATCCGTAGTAGATTTTGTAGAATAGTCCTATCATAAGTGATGACCTTTCAACCGTTGAGTTTTCTGAACGTAACCAAAGTTTGTGGTGGGATCAGGGCCTACTGTTTCCATATATAAAGCAAAGACTGGCCGGTGCCTAAACAGTTAAAGGGGCACGGAGCCATAAGTGCGAAGAAGAAGAAGCCTACTGTTTCCATAGACTTATATAATAGACGGAACATTCGTGTAAGAAAAGCTGAAGTCTTTGTTAAAAGAAACAGAAATAATCGTGGAGTAGTTCTCTTCTTTTCTAGCAGTGAGTTGATTGGTGGCCGCGGCAGGCCGAGAGCAACGAAGATAGAGTTTGAGAGTCAGTTGAAAGAAAGTGAAAGTGAAAGGTGATAGCAGAGAGAAACCTGAGAGCGGCCATCCTATTGTAATTTTTTACGACGGTTTCAGCCGCTGGTTTTAGCCGTATTTCCACAAAAGTGGAACTCAAAGGCCGTTCTCTATGAAACTCAAGTCGCAAGTCTCGTGGAACTGATCAATCACGTTGGTCGATTGGCTGATTTGACTCTGCAATTGGTCAATTCCACGAGATCTGCTACTTGCGTTTAATGTAGACCGGCCTTTGAGTTCCACTTTTGTGGAAATACGGCTAAAACCAGCGGCTGAAACCGTCGTAAAAAATTACATAAGGATGGCCGCTCTCAGGTTTCTCTCTGGTTCAACTGTGTTACTCCATGGATACCAACTTTTTTCCGTTTATTTTTCTATGGAATGCTATTTTTGTAGACCGTTTTCTGCTGTGCTTTCAAATTATATTCGGAACAGTATTAATCATGGAAAGTATATGATATATATTTTTTAAATTATTTTATTATTTGTTATAAAAATGTAATAATAAGTATTGACATAACTATTCTCTCGTGTTTTAATAGATCTCGTGTCCTTAAAATTGATGTCCTTAAAATATTAATCTTACTTGATGTCCTTAAAATATTAATCTTTTACAATTCTGCAATATATTTATATTTCAGCATGCAATTAAAAAATATCAATTTTATTAATGATTAAATAATAATTTTATTACTTAATTATTGAAGCAGATGGTTTTACATGCAAACATTGCAATGCATATATTGCAATATTAGACACAGCACCCTTACATGAATGTTTCATAAACAAAAATATATATAAGGATAGTAACAATGTTTTATTTACAAACGACAATGTAGATGTTAATGACGAATGTAAGTTTATTTATTTACACATCAGTATAATTTATTCAGTATAAAACCCATTTTCTAATCTAATTTCAACTTCTACCCACACAGACATCCATCCATCCAGACATCCATTAGACATCTATTAGATGCCTTGACGAAAATGAGAAGTTTTATAAGCGTTTATTTGACGTTTGTATGAGCGTTTTGCGGAAATTCGTTGAAAGTTTTGAAACGGTCAGTAGAGAATTCATAGGGCGGAAATTGCAACACTGCAGCGTTTGAAAGGCGTTTGTATAAAGCGTTTCTGAAAGTTTGCATAGTGTTTACGTTAAGCGTAAGACAAAACAAAATAGTTTATTAAGTTAAAAACATCTAAAAATTCAATAAAAGAATTTTTCGCGACTCGCGCTTTTACACAGCTAAGAGATTTCACTTGAATTAATTTTTGGAAGTCCGCGGTTCAGCTCGCCAATCAACTTATAAATTCCATTAAAAGGGACCGGATCTGAAAAAATTTTAAGATGATAGCGGGATTCGAACTCGAGACGCCTCCGTCGTATTCTCAGCACCTGCACTCAGTCCGCAAGACTACTTGTTCCTTACTAAAATGATTATTTTTATCTACTTATTCTCACGCTATCTTACACTATTCATTTATTATTTCTTCAAAATATTATTTTATTAAAAATATTGTAGTGCAATGTACCTGCAATGAGTAAAAATGTTTATCTTTCTTATTACTATTAAATATGATTTAAAGTACATTTTTACAATGCAACCAAATTTTAACACTGTGTCTCAAATAATGCTATATTTAAATCAAATATAGTCTGTTACATTTATGTTAAAAATTGATTTTTTCATTAAATAATGGTTTATTTAATGAAGAAAAAAACCTAATGAAACATTATTTCGTTGAGATAAATTATTTCAAGCACTTATATTATTTTCTTCATATTATGATTTAGTATAACGTAACAATACAAAGTATCATTCAACAAAATTGTTGTTTGGTATAAAATTATGTTATTTGAATGCAACAAATATGAGTCAAACAAATCGAATTATTAAATT